TGGTCTGACGGCACTGACAGGAAAACCTTCTTGGTTTGAAGGTGCACATGGTGGCTTGGCAAACCCTGGCACACGTGGGTTGCTCTCGTTGCCCGCCTGGGACACCCAGTCCTTTGGTGATGGGGGCAGTCTGTTTTCTAGCTGAGAATCCTCTTAGGAGGTTGGTCATATTGCAAGGCTGTGTTAGCTGGCTCATGTGGGAGGGCTTCTAGGTCTTGGCTGCGGGGTGAGTTTGAGACGCCCCGTCCAAGCAGGGAGAACAGTTGGAGAGGTCTAGCTGGCTGGTGGCAGGTGATGAGCAGACCTTGCTCCATATGGAGGATGTGCTGGGGAACACAGTGTGCCCCAATGAGTTACCCTGGGGCAGTAAGAGGAGCAGGCTGGCTGGCAGAGAGGTCAAAGGATCTTAACTATTTCCAGAAGTGCACCTGGAAGGTCAGCAGGGACCATGTTTGCTGACCTAATGCCTTTTCTTCCTTGCAAATAGCCTCCTGCCCAACAGTTGAGCTTCTGCCAGCATTTCGTACCCCGCGCTCCTTGGCAAGGTGGGGTGGCCAACCTCCCCTCGATACCTTTTTCTTCTGGTGCCCCAAATCATTCAGCCTTTGCAAGGAAGAGGTTCTTCTCTGGGTTTCACCCCTGTGGCTTGATCCTGCTGTTTGGGTTGTGTGTCTGTCTGTCCGTTGCACGCCTGAAGTGCTCCGTTGGGTTCGTCGTAGGTACGGAGTGGACAGCTGTGAACAAGGAGCCTTTCCTTTCCACCCGGTACACAATCCAGGACCTCAGCTCCGGTGAGAAGATCCACGTACGGGTGAAGGCTGTCAGCGCCAGCGGTGCCGGTGTTCCGGCTACTTTGGAGCAGCCAGTCCTCATCAGAGAGATCCTCCGTAAGTACTGCTCCCACCGAGCAGAATTCCCATGTGCTTCGTTAGCAGGACGTAGAAATCACGGTCCATCCCTCCAGCCTGAGCAGCCTCACAATCCAGCCTTTGACCAAGATGTTACTCTCAATAGCCGTGTCCAGTTCCCTTGGGGTGGGATGGAGTAGCTTCCTGACCTCGAGACACCCATCTTGCAGATGGTGAAGCTCTGAGGGTGAAGGACTCAAAATGCAGAGCCACGTTTCCCCATTTCATTGCAAGAGCTCAGAAGCAGCCTCAGTTTCCCCTCCTTGGCCATGCCTGCATCTCCGACGTGCCGTGACACGCGCACCGAACAGCCTGTTTGTTTAGCCAAGGGCAGTCAAGAGCCGGTGGTGCGGAGCACGGGAACTTTAATCGTGCCCAACTCGCTAACGGGTGGCTCGCTCCCATGCTTAGCGCGACTCGCAGTCCTCCCGGGCCGCTGCCAACGTGCTGGGGCTGATGTAGGATTGCAAGGCTGGTTTGCACTTCTCAAACAGCAAATGCAGACTTATTTTCCCCTTATAAGGAATTATTCATATGCAAGTTTTCCTGCTACTCACAGAACACGTCGGATTTTTCAGCTGCTTAAAAATAGTAATGATAATAACAAAAGTTATTCCAGGAACCATCAACTTTTCGTAGAAAAAGGCTTGGAGAAGGCTATCAACATCTGGAAAGGATCCTGCAGGGTCCATCCTCTCGGTCTGCTCGGAGGAGGTGACCATGGCTTAGTGATTGGTGTCTGCTGCTGTGTTCACCTCCAGATCTCAAAGGCATCCCACCATACCTTGTGGGACTGGGGAAACTGAGGCATGGGAGACTGACACGAGATGCCAGATACATAGCTCTTGTTTCCCACTTCCAGTCTCCTGCTGCACCCACCAGTTCAAACTGAGCTTTCAAAGCCTGAGCTTTGTCTCAGCCACATGTACTGCCTGAGAGGTGTGAAACCCAAAATTGCCGAAAGACCCACGCACGGCTCGCTCTTGCTCTGTGCTAGTGGGGTTTTCTGTTCGCTCTTTTCTTTTTGCCAGCTGAAACTCTTCGCCCGCTTCCGCAATCCGTTTGAAATACATCCCTGTGCACGCCGCCTGGCTTTGCCGAGGAACAAATTAGCCCTCGATGCCTCCCCGTGTCCACCCCAACGGTGCTGGTGTGCGGCGGGTGCACGAGTCCGCTCCTCTCTGCCCCGTCTGTTAGCTTCTGGTCTTCACGTTTTACTTGGGACTGCATTTCGGACCTCTCACCCGTTCGTTTATAGCATCACGAGGGGTTTTACGTAGTGGCCATACAGATGGCAGAGAGTTTAAAAACAGGTGGGACAAGTGGGTTTGAGAAGTGGTGAGAGAAGAGGAGCAACCAGATGAAGATTCGGTGTGGGAGTTGCGTTCTGTAGGGAGCTGGGGCAGGAAGAATGCCTTCCCACCGGCGGCAGAACGTCACCAGGGCCACCAACCTTGGCCAGCCTTCTCTGGCTGAGCAAGGCCGGCGTGAGCTGGGGAAAACACCCATGAATTAACATTCCTCCATCAAGGTCGGGTTTCTCTGCCCCACTGAGACTGATAAGCCCAAGTGGCGGGGTGGATGGATGGATCCCTGGAGCAAATAGCTGCATGAGCAGAGGAGAGACCGTCTCAGCTGTCGGTGGGGCCATCTGGGACCGTCGGGCATCTCCCTGCCCTCCCAGCCCACCGCCGGCGTTTCGTGCTCACAGCTGTTTAGCCCTTGCTCGGTCCCAGTTTAATTCTGGCCGTGCCCCCTCCTCAGAGCTGAGCTCCAGCACGTTTAATCCGGGCAGAGACACACAGCTCTTTTACGAGGGGCTCACGTAAACCCAATGCCTCTCCAGAAGGATCACCGGGTGGCACCGAGCCGGTAGGGTTACACGGCTGCTATTTTCACCCCGGGAAGGAGACACACGCTCCATCAGCATTCTCCAGTGGGTCTTTTGCTTATCTTTGTTATGTTCCCTTGGGGATGTTCGCCTTCGTTTTAAGCCTGGGGCTTTCACAGCTCTGCTGTGAGTAACTATGCACCACCTTGGTCTGTCAATGGCCTTGAGCACACAATGAAGGTGGAGGTCTGGAGAGCCTTGTCCTTGCTGGAAGTTGGGTTGAGTGCCTCTGTAAAGTCTGCTTTCTGAGCTGGGGGAGAAGTATTTCCTAACTGGGAGATGCTGTCCTCTGCGTCACTACCGTGTAGGCTGTGCTGTGGCCCTTCTGGTTACGCTGGTGTTGGACTCCATGGCCTGGCTATAATGAAGGGGGTGAATGGTCCATTGGGATGGTGCTGTTGGGTTGGGGACCTGGTATCTCAAGGATGGATATGATCTTGAGGTGCAGGTGGTGGGGCGGGCTGGCATGGCCCTGCAGGGAAGGAAGCACTGTCCAGGAGATGAGAGGGAAGACGTGGCCATGTTTCTGGGTGGGACTTCTCGATGGCCAAGCAGAGGGATGCATGGGGTGGCTCAGCCAGTTGGGGACTGTGATTTCCTTGGCCTCACAGCATGACTTTCTGGTTCTCAGAGCTCCCGAGGATCCGCATGCCCCGTCACCTGCGGCAGACTTATGTCAGGCGTGTTGGGGATGCCGTGAACATGATGATCCCTTTCCAGGTAGGTTGATGATTTGGAACTTAATCTCCCAGATTTTTTCACTGCAGGTTAGCTTCTGCAGTGACTTTTCTAGCCACCATGATATGCCTGGGACGAACTATGGGCTGTCTTGTCCTGGTTCCTGTGTCTCATGGACCAAGAGTGGAAGATGGGGTGGGAACCTCTCTCCTGTTCCTGTCTAGCTCCCATTTTTGTTCTGCTATGTCTTTATTGATGGTGCTGGCAATGAGACAACCCCAAACACACTAGGACATGGGCCCAAACACACTAGGACATGGGCTAGCTATTGCTGCTGTCTCGTCTCAGCCTACGAGCCCTTTTCAGCCCATGCTCCTGGCTGAGCCTGGCAGGGATCTGGCCACATACCACAGGACCCCACAGTACAACAGTGGGGTTCTCCCTGGGGAGAGCAGCTGCCTTTGGAGAAGGGCAGCCCCAGGGCTGTGTGATGGGAGGAGCGATGCTGACACTGGTGGTCCAAGCTGGAGGTCCTCTCCTCAACTGATCTATTGCATACTGTCTGGGGCATCAGTAAAGCATCTCCATCATGGTGTCTGGGACGGAGAAAACCAGCCCTGAAACATGCTGGTCAAGCAGGGAGAAGCGAGAGGCAGAAAACTGCCCCTGAGATGATAGACATGTCCATGCCATGTCTCAAAGGTGGTTGAGAGGCTTCACTGGCCATGCTCCAGGCATGAATTGGCCCTGGATGCTGAATTCAAGTCCTGGCTGCTAGGCTTGAATATGGACTCAGTGCCTGGGCAACAGGAGCACAGCTCTGCCTGCAATGACCTGGACAAGTAAAGCTGAGCTTGCTCCATGAGGACTTTGGGGGACCAGTACGTTCCAGAGCATCGTCCCTGGAGCCTGGTGGCTTCCCATCAGAGGGACTGGCAGGGATTGGGTGTAGTTGCTTCCCTGGGGACTGCTGGATGGGATAGGCCGTATCCAGGTCACCACCGCCTGGACAAAGCGGGGTGGTTCTGCCCACCCGTCCTTCCCAGCAGGACCCGTTGGGACCGTGAGCTTGAGTGGCTCCTAACCTGCCTGTGCGGGTTGCTCCAGGGAAAGCCACAGCCCAAGGTGATCTGGACCAAGGGTGACCAGCCCCTGGACACCAGCCGTGTCAACATCCGCAACACGGACAAGGACACCATCTTCTACATCCGCGAGGCGCAGCGCAGTGATTCGGGCAAGTACGAGCTTGCCGTGCAGATAAACGGGGCGGAGGACAAGGCTACCCTGGACATCCGAGTAATTGGTAAGGCTGGGGATGGGACCATGCAGGGTTGCTCTGTGGCTTATTTTCGCCCCGTGGTTGAGGGCAGCTCTTGTTCTGGGTGGGATGGGACAAGGCCAGCAACAACGCCACTCTTCCAGTGGGATCTTCCCCAGGATCACAGAGGTGAACTCCTCAGGTTGTGGGTGCAGGGCTTCTTTCATCCCATGTCCATCACAGCTTTTCATGTCTTGTGTGCTGCAACAGGGTGAGAAGAGATGATAAGTGAGGTGTGAGGGGATGGTCAAGGCACAAAATGTGGTGGGAACAAATTAGAATGTCACCCTGCGAGGGTTTGTATTCACAGAGCCACCGAGCCCCCCCCAGAACCTGAAGCTGGTGGATGTGTGGGGCTTTAACGTGGCCCTGGAGTGGACCCCTCCGGTAGACAACGGGAATTCTGAGATCAAGGGCTACCTGGTGCAGAAGTCAGACAAGAAAAGTGGGGTGAGTGTGGGTACTCCTGGGCCCCCACGTCCTGATGCTGGGGATGCCCTGATGGGAGAGAGGGACCTGCACATCCCTCTCTCCCCCCATGCCTTCTCCATCCTTTGCACAGCCTGCCTTTCCTCACCACTCCTTTTTTCCCTCCCAGAAATGGTTCACGGCACTGGAGCGCTGCACCCGCACCAGCTGCACCATCTCCGACCTCATCATCGGCAATACCTACTCCTTCCGCGTGTTCGCGGAAAACGCCTGCGGGCTGAGCGAGAAAGCAGCTGTCGCCTCCGGGGTGGCCCACATCAAGAAGACAAGTGGGGACAAAGCTCTGGCTAAGGGATGAGGGGTGGTGGTGGGCAAGAGGGGTCCTGTCCTCGCTGGGACTAGTGGGGCTTCCTCAGTGTTGTGGTGATGATGTTGGACTGGTCCCCAGCATGAGCCCTGCAGGAATGAGGCTGTGCATCCCCAAGGCAGAGGCCCAGAGGTCGTCTGCCCTCCTTCTACACCTCCTCTCCCCTTGGGGAAGGCTTGTGCCATGGTCAGCCCCCTGGGAAGGATCAAGGCATGGACATCCCTGGGGTGAAATTGAAGCAGGAGCTGGGAGGGGTGAGGAACAGCAGCGGAAGAGACCCCTGCAGTGGTCCATCTCAGGGCCAAATCTCCAAATCCCAAATCCCTCAGCCTGCTCTAGCCTCCATCTATTTCCATCCTGCTCCCTGGTAGCACACACAGTGAGTTGGGGTCTTTGCCACCTGCAGAGCTTACCTCCAGCTCCTATTTCTGTGCCCCACATTTTGGGGATGGAGTAGGAGATCCAGAGAGGTTCCTGGACTAGACCTGACATGCTGCACATGCCATGTGTGGTGTTGGCTTGCAGATTGGCATCTTCCCTTTCCCCCGCGGGGACTGGACGCTAACATGGCATAGTCGGATGAGGAGGCATTTATAGACAGGGATGGTCTGAGATGAAGGCCAGGTCCTCGGGTCACTCTAGATGCTGTCTGGCTTGTTGTGTGATGCAGCGGAAGTATTTTGGGGTACTTTGGGCTGAATCCCTCTGACTAGGTCAGCCCTGGAGCCTGAGCTCTGCCTCAACCTAGAACTAATTATTTTCTTAGAAACTGCTTACCAGCCAGAAAAGATCCCCCAACGGGACATGATGGAACCTCCAAAGTTCACCCAGCCTCTGACAGACCGAACCACCACCCGGGGCTATAGCACACACCTCTTCTGCTCCGTCCGGGGCTTCCCTCAGGTCAGTGGTTCCTCCATGGACAGCATCATCTCCGTGTGTGGGCAGCCACCAGTGGGTTTTTTGCAAGGTGGGTGGAGGTTTTGGGAGATGGTTGGTCGTGTTGGGTTAGAGTTGGCTGAGGCTAGGGGGCTGCAGCTGTCCTCTGAGTCAAAAACTGGGGCCAGTTTGGGGTGTTTCTGCATGGAGATGGGAGACCAATCTAAATTCAAGCCATATCCTATTTCCTTCTGCACTGGGTGAGGAAGTGTGATGCAGTGGTTCGGGGTCAAGAATGGGAGATTTAGCTCTTCAAACTGCTTCTGACTGTGAATCCCACCATGGCCAGCAGTATCTGGCAGGGCCAAGGCAAAGGCAGAGGGAGGTGGCTGCATTTTGGAGCCAGTTAGACTTCTCATTTCTCTCCCTGCTTTAAACAAATAAATAAATCCTGCTGCCTTCCAGCCCAAAATCATCTGGATGAAAAATCAGATGGAGATACGGGAAGACCCTAAATACATAGCGATGATCGAGCAGGGTGTCTGCTCCTTGGAAATCCGCAAGCCCAGCCCTTTCGATGGGGGCATCTACACCTGCAAAGCTGTGAACCCCTTGGGGGAAGCCTCGGTAGACTGCAAACTTGATGTGAAAGGTAAGATTGGCGGAGGAGATCGAGGAACAGGTCTCCTCGCCTGCCTTTTCCTCTTCTCACTTCTGCAGTGGCGTGGTTCATCCCTGTTTTTTGTTGATCCTGCTGTTGGGGGAGCCGAAGGACTCTGGGCAGGCATGTGGAGCTGGAGCTTCAGGCTCCTTGAGTTTATGGTCTTGTAGCATCTTGAAATTGCCTTCCTTCATTCATGGCCAAAAAATGGGGAGGAAACCAGAAACTGCAGAGCCAAAGAACCAGGGGTACTGGTGGAGGCTGGGCCAGTCTCTTGCTCCTCACTGCCTCCACCAGCACTTGTGTCCCAAGCCATCCACAAGCCGTGCGTGTGGGGCTGTGCTGAACCCCCTCTGCTTGCACCTGGATTGTCCTGATTTATGTCTTGGGGTCCTGCCTGGACTTTCTGGCTCACATTTCCCTGCCTCAGCAGAGTGCCCAGCCCAGCCTTTTCACAGAGGTGCCCCGCTTTGCTCTCCGCAGACACCTCTGCGTGCTGCAGACCCACCTCGGCGTGCAGGAGGACACATGCCCACACACCATATTCACGTTCCTCAAGTGACGTTGTGTCCTTAAACGCGTGTCATTGTTGTTATTTCTCCTTCCCAGCACACTCTTGCCCCAAGACACGCTCTGTCCTACTTCCCACGCAGACAGGGCTCCCATCCGGCAGGTGCCCAGCACCTTTGGTCCCTGCTGGAGCTACAGGGCTGCCGGCGTGGCACGGGGTCGGCGCTTGGCTCTGCGGCAGCTGGTGCCAGGGCTTCCATCTGATGCAGGGAGCACTGACCCAGCCGGCCCCGGCCCCGCTGCCCTGCAGGCAGGGCTGTCAGTGCAGCCATGCAGGCGGCACGGTGAAGGCGGACAGGAGGATGAGCTTGGCGTTGTGCTGGGGACACAAAAAGCACCTGGGAGTCATCCAGGCTGGGATCTGGGGGGCAAGCTGGCCAGGAGCAGGCAGCGACGGTGGTGTGCACGATTGCTTGGAGCGTGCGTGCGCAGGGATGGTGTGCTCGGGTGCACGTTGGTGTGCGGATGTAAGCGGGGTGGTTACCCCCTGGCTCACTTTTGGAAGTCAAAAGGGGAGTAAGACGAGGGGAGTTCAGGGCGTTTATATCTCCCGTGCTCTCCTGCAGTGCCCCAGTGAGGACAGGTCGGAGGGCAAGACGAAGAGCGAGGTAGGTCTGGGCTGGGGCTGTGGGATGGAGGGAGGTTGGGTCATTTCATCAGGGAGGGAGTGGGTTGAGTGTCCTGGATTAGCCCTTGTCACCTGCTGATGGAGCCCCAGCTCTGGTCTTCCTCATCCCACGGCTGGAGAAGCACTATGGGGGTGGGATGCTGCAGAGCCTGACAGGAACGTGCCCCTTTGCATGGTGAAGGGAGGGCTGTAAATAGGGCCAGGAGGACCAAGATGCACGTGGAGACTGGTGTGCCTGGCAGATGCGTGGGCAGCAGAGCCCCAGTTTGCAGGCAGAGCTCAGAGACCTGGGGCACCAGAGGTTGGATGCACATGAGGGGCAGGTGCTGGGGCGGGGGGCAGGTATAAAGGGAGGTGAAACAGGGCTGTGGGGTGGAAAAGTGGAGTTAAAGGGCCGCAGCTGAATTTCGTGGGGCAGGAGAGGGTGGAAGAGCTGGGCTGGGTTTGTCTCGCATCAGAGCCATGGCTGGGATGTGGTTTCCCATCTCGTCCCTGACCACTGGTCTCTCGGCAGCCGTGCCCACACAGGTCTCAGATCTCCTTCCTTTACCCCAGGTGGATGCTGCAGCTGCTGTGCAGGAGCGTGGCACATGGTGACGCTCTTGGCCATGGCCTCTGCTGCCTGCGGGCCTGCCCCCTCCCTGGCAGTGCTGCGGGGGGCCCTGTACCTCAGCCTGTCATGGCGTGGTCCTCTCTGAATGTCTCCTTAGCTATAACAACAAAACAAGCCCATCTGAGGGGCTTTGGTCCTAATAAACACCACCAAATCTCTCTGTCCTGCTTGTTGTGGGGTTGGCTTGGGCGGGGGGAGGTAGAGAGGAGAGAGTTGCCAGGAATGCTACAGGTTCATAGAGCATCACACCCAACCATGGCTGGAGGAGATGGTTTTTGAGCTTGGAAAGAAAGGACCAGCTTTATACAACACATATGAAGATGACTAAAGCAGAAGCAACCCAACGAGGAGGAGGATGTGGAGGATGAAGAAGAGTTTCCTTCTGGAGCTGGAGAATTTTGGCTGGCAGGGAGAAAAAATAGCATCATCAGAACTGTGGCATGTTGATGCCTCTTCAATGAAGCACAATTTCTTTATTCATGCCAGTGACACAACGATCCAGCCACGTGCTGCCACCAGCATCCCCTCCCCACGGCACGAGACAGCGGGG